TTGACCACCCCCAGCTCCCCCGACACCCCCAAACCTCTGGGGTCACCTCTCTGGGACCTGCAGGAGCCCAGAAAGCAGCAGAGCCCGATGGAGGGTGTAGGCATGCAGAGCGCACACTGGGCACCCAACACAGCACAACGAACCGCAGGGTGAAGGGGGGCCCTGCACCCACCTTATTGCCCAGCAGCATGATGACCACGTCCTTCTGGGCATACTCGTGGATCTCCGTCAGCCAGGCCTGTGGGGCAGAGAGACTGTGTTGGGGTGGGCAGTACCCTCATACCTCCCCCCTCATCCCTCACCCTTCCTCAACATAAGGATGGGGAAAAAAATTTTTTTTCTGACATGGGAACCACTCCAGCATCACAGTCCTGAAAATGCCCCATCTCCCAGCTAGAGCCCAAACCTACATGTAGTTTATGTCCATCCCAAACCACAACTTCTTCCTCCAGCCATTTACCATGTCCCTAAACAAAACACACCCAGGCAGGCACCCTGGAAACGAGCTCCCAGCCAGCTGGGTTTGGCCAAAACAGCCGGCACTTACATGTCACACAGGCTGCAAAATGCCCCAAACACCCAGCAAGCCACACAGGGCACCCACGACCCTGATCCCTGGAGAGAAACACGCTCCCTATCCACGGAGGGGACTCACGCGGATGTTGTCGAAGGACATCTTGCTGGTTATATCGTAGAGCAGGAGCAGGGCTGGAAGGGAAGAGGCAGAGGCATTGCTCCGCTGCAGGGATGCACTCCGGCCCATCTCCTCCCTCCCCACTGGACCCCAAACCCACCTTGGGCATCCCTGTAGTAGGCATGGGTGACACTGCGGAAACGCTCCTGTCCTGCTGTGTCCCAGATCTGTCAAGAAGCCGCCTGATGAGAGCGGGGAGGGGATGCCCCCCCGGCACAAGCTGGGGATGCCCCTGTGGACTCAGACTCAGAGGAGGGGGGCAGTTCCAGCAATCTGGCTGGGAATTGCTCACCTGCAACTTCACCTTCACGCCATCCACGGCCACCACCTTGTTCTGCAGAAGAGAAGGAGAGCACGTTCATCCACCCAAAGAGTGCCTCAAGGTGGGGACGTCTTGCACACACAATATGCAAATGTGCACCTACTAATAACATCTTGGTGCACTATTAGAAGGTTTGCCCACCATAAAGCCCTGACCCTTGTGCCAGGATTCCTCTGCTCCAAGTGCCAAAGGAACTACAGCTGCACTAAAAATTTGGGCTATTTGGATGCTACAAGCTGCCTGAGGATGCTCAGTGAGCGATGCTGGATGTTCATCCAGCTCAGGTTTCCTTGTTTGTGAGAGCCTTGCTTGGCCCTTAAAGGTGGTTGCACACACTGAGCTGGGGTGCTGAAGGTAGCACATAGCTTTATCCAGCACAGCAGGAGGAAATCTCCTGGGTTAGGGTGGTTTGCAACTAGGCTGGGACTGAGGAAGAGAAGAGACATTTGTGAGTGAATGGGGAAGGCAGTTACCAGGGCTTAAGCAATTGCTGTACCCAACGGGGAAGCACAGGGACTTCTCTCCAGAGGAGAGAAGAAAGAAAAGCAGGAGTTACTGAAGGGCTAATTTAAGACTCAAAAAATTGTACTTGGAGGGATGAGTCTGGAAAGAGAAGACCCTTATAAATAACTTCATTGCCTGGAATTGTTTGAAATGGAAATTCAGCCTGTGTGGAGATCGCAAAGTTTGAGAAAATGGGCTGAATAAACCAAAAACGTGCCCTAGGAGACTCTGGAAATTATCTTCTAGCAGCGAGTCATGAGCTGCTGGAGGGAATGCTTGCATAAAGCAGAGAGGGTACCTATGAGCTGGCAGCACCCTTGGGGCCACTAGCAGTGCGATTTGGCAGATTTTCTTTCTTCCATTACTGTATTGGAAGGACAGGCTACAAGACCCATCCAAAGTGAACCCCCACCCCCTGCCC